CGAGGGCTACTGAGCTGGCGTTTGGCCGGCGGATCCGCAGCGGGGGAGGGGCAGGAGGAGGGGGAGACGAGAGACGGGGTGGGGGTGCTGGTGCTGGTGGTTGTGGTGGGAGGAAAAAGGGTAAGGCTAATTTATTCCAGGCCATTCCTTTTGGTAAGGATATGCCGACTGGTATATCCTCCTTGTAGAAGCAGATTGGTAGTGGAGTGGGTGGGCTTATACAGGGGATGAATATGCCGCAGGCAGCGGGCGGCGTGCGGGCGGCGATGTGAAGAAGGAAGGGAAGCTGGAGCCACATGCATACTGGCCGTTGGATGCAGAGATGCTCAATCGGAGGGCTGGGAAGCTTGCAGCGGCGAGGAGGGGAATGACCAGTGTCATGGGGGCGGAGGGGGAGGAAAGGGGGAGGTGGGAGGGGAGGGGGGGGCGGGAGGAGGGGGGAAGGGAGGGGCGGGGAAGAAGCAGCACAAGGGGCACAAGGGGAAGGGGAAGGGGAAAGGAAAGGCATAGGGTCAGAAGGAGTAAGCATGACTCCTAGGCCTGACCTTCGGCTTTGGGCTTCGGGCTTTGGCTTTGGCCTTCGGCTTTGGGCTTTGGGCTTTGGCTTTGGCCTTCGGCTTTGGGATTCGGGCCTTGGCTTTGGCCGTCGGCTTTGGGCTTCGGGCTTTGGGCTTTGGCCATGAGCTTTGGCCCTGGGATAGGCGAGGGTGTGTTACCTGTTTGCTATGCGGCATTGCCATATGCGGCACAGCCATATGCGGCACATCCATATACGGTACATCCTGGGCCAGTTTCCCTTGCCCTGTCATCCCTGCCCTGTCATAGGGTCATAGAGCTTTGGCCCTGGGTTAGGCATGGGTGTGTTGCTATGCGGCACAGTCAAATGCGGCACAACCATATGTGGTATGTCCTGGCCCAGTCACCCTTGCCCAGTCAGCCCTGCTCATAGGATCATAGGGCTTTGGCCTTGGCCTTGGCCTTGAGCTTTGGCCCTGCAGAAGGTATGGATGGGTGTGTTTGCTATGCAGCATAGCCATATGCGGTACAGTCACCCTTGCCAGTCAACCCCCTCCCCCATTCATATTTTGAGGGGGCAGGCTAGAAAGTTATATTACTATGTACAGTACTTTCGAGCTGAGAATCTTTGGAAGTGCTGAAAGTCAACAGCAGCCAGCATTGGTAAGGTTAGGGAACAAGAATGATCAGATTCAGCCGTAGCGGTACATAAATCTTTCGCCAACAATTTTGAGGAGCAGTAGCAACAGCTTAAATCATAGTGCTGAGAAGTAATCTCTCTGGGTCTGGTTAGAGGAGTTGAGAGTGGGGGTAATCCCTCTGGTCATGAGCAGAAAGAGCAGCTGGAACGGTGGGCAAGCAATGAGGAAACAGGGCGAGAGGCCCTTGAAGGGGAGCGGATGGACGGATCGCGAATACTCTCTTTTATCACAGGAACAGATCGCGCAAGGCCTCTAAAAAGAAGGTAGAGAACAGGTATATGAAGGGGAGCGGATGGACGGAAGTGAGGTGGGCGCGGGGAAGTAGGATGGATGGGATATGTGAATAGAAGATGGGGAAGTGAGAAGGAAGAGAGAGGGGAAGGGGCGAGGGGAGCTGCGGGAGGAGTAGCTGAGGACAGCGGAAGGTCAGAGAGTGGGAGTAGAGATAGAGTAAGTTGGGAGCTGGTAAGTTGGGAGCTGGTAAGTTGGGAGCTGGTAAGTTGGGAGTTGGGATGGATGGGTGATGATGGGATGATGATGGGGAATGAGGGGTGAGGGACGGTGGCAAATGAGAGGTGACAGACCGGGGGGAAGGTGAACCACGAGGGGCGGAATGAGGGGTAAGCGGAAGGGGGGGATGAGGGGTGAGCGGAAGAGGGGAACGAGGGGTGCGCGAAGTCTGGAAATGAGGGGCGAGGGAAAGGGGGAATGCGGGGTGAGCAACGGGGGGAAATGAGGGGTGAGTGACGGGAGGGAATGAGGGGTGAGTGACGGGAGGGAATGAGGGGTGAGTGACGGGAGGGAATGAGGGGTGAATGACGAGAGGGAATGAGGGGTGAATGACGGTGAGCGGAAGGGTGGAAATGAAGGTCGAGCGACGGGGGGGATGGGGGGTGAGCGACAGCGGAGAAATGAGGGTGCGCAAATGGGAGAAACAAGGGTTGAGTGAAAGGGGGAAAATGAGAGGTGAGTAAAGCAGGAAAATGAGAAAAGAGCGAAGGGGGGAAACGAGGGGAGAGCTAAGGGGAATGTGAGTTACTGAGGGGTGAGCAACGGAGGGAACTGAGGGGTGAGCGACGGGGAATATGAGGTAAGCGAGGGGGCACGCGGGGTGAGCGAAAAGAAATGCGACGTAAGTGACGGGGGGAGCACATTGCTGATGAGCGACGAAGCGTAAACGACAGGAAAGCGCGAGATGGGGATGAGCAATGAGCGCAGGAGGAATGATGGGAATAAGGGGCTGGCGCATCGGGGATGAGAGGAAAATCAGAACGAGGGAGATTAGAAAGTGGGATGAGGGGTGAGCGGTGTGGGGATAAAGGATGAGAGGAGGGAAATACGGGGTGTTAGAGCGTCGGCGAACGGAGAGAGCATTGGCGAAAGGAGCGAGGGATAGGAAGAGGGGGACACGGGGGGGGAAAGGAAAGAACAAAGCTTGATATTGGAGTCGTGCTCCTCCGGAATTACGGCGTAGAGACGCCACGGGTGTGCGTCATCAGCGCGCATCATTAGAGACAGGCCACGGGTGAGCGCTATGCGCGCAGTAGACTGCGATACGAAATTAATTCCAATTACTAGTACTTTGTGACCGCTCAACAGTACGCCGGAATAACGCAGTCCGTCAATATTAGAGCTCCTTCGCGGAAGCTTAGTTGTACGACATTCACCACGTAATAGTAGCAATCTTCGGGAATGGATAGCAAGCAGCTGGCAGTCGGAACTACCCTTCACCACGCTACTGCTCGCTAACTTTTTTCCGAACCGTCGTCCGGACTTTGGGCCGTCCAGACGACCCGTTTGGTTACATGTTTCGTCATAGCTCGTTAGGCTTTTCGCCACTAATTTGGCGACGTCGCATAGGTACGGACGGTGTCTGACACTTTTGCAGGTTTTTGGCGCGTGGAAATTGTCCGTACAGTGTCCGAAGTGAAATCGGACCGTCCGACTCAGGCTTGCTGTCATTGGCGGCGAAAATATTGTACAGTGGCACAAGCGAGTCGCATGCATTTGTGTACGAAAATAGCGAGTGCTGAGTAGCACTCGTAACCTGTCGTGTGTCGCGGAACATTTGGAAACACAAAAGTTCCACTTTTGAAGTACGGACGGGCCTATGTCCGGACCAAAGGCCCCAGACGTCCGTACCGAGGCTGTCCGGTCACTTTAGAGGCGAGGTCCGGACATTTGCCGGCTCGGAAAAAAGCTACACGCCCTAAGGCGCAACGCTACAACTACATGTGGCGGAACTAACAACTATCTCATTACAACGATCGGGCAAAAGGCAATACGACTGGCGTGGAAACGGAAACTAGGACAACTGAAGAGCACGCATGGCAAATTGGAAATACCTAGATCTGAGCAGGTGGTGTGGTGGTGTACCACCAACCAAAACACCAACCTCACCAGCCCCTTTGGGATTCCATTCTGCCCGAATATTTCATCCCTCGCCTTCCTTCCCTTCCCCCCTCCGATTTTGATTGGTCCTCGCAATCTTCTCCATCCCAACCCCTTCCTCTGCACCTGCCCGAAAACTGATTTGACACGAGCAAAATTAATTACAACCAATCAATTCTATTATTTTGCACTCATGCCGTCCCGCACCTCACGCAAAACGTTCGGCCTAGACTCTAAACTACTAACACCTCAGGCAAGCGTGACCTGCCCGTGGCTTCGAACCTGGTTCACCAATCACACAGGTTCGTAGTCAATTACCAATCACCAATCACCTTATCTTAGTCAATCGAATGTAACATAACCACAAGAGTGTTACACAAACTTGCAATCACACAGAAACACCCACAATGGGGGATGACAGGACAGTTTCCAACCTGCCATCACTGTTCTGACACTTCCAGTGAAACCAAATTTTGGCGGATTCAGCCACGACGGGGGATGGTCGCACTGTTGCCGTCCCTCCCTGGCACCACTGTTCTGTGTCAACTAGTCAACTTTCCCTCCCTGCCATCACTGTTCTGGGCTTGAGTCAACCAAATCTTGGCGCTTCTTGATTGTCATTCCTGCCAAGCAATTCCAACCACGCGATTCGAGCCAAGTGATTCCCCTGGCTGCAAGTTGTCCCTCGCAAGATCATAAGCACTTTTGCCGTGAGCTTCCTTCTCAGAAGACTTGAAGACTCGCACGAGCACAACAGGAGGAGCCGTCCCGAGGTGTTTCCACCGTGCCTTTCAGGGTACACAAGAACGCGCGCGCGTGAAGACCAGAAGTGAAGACAGAGGCGTTTCCCTCGTGCCTTTCAGGCACGCGAAGACCAGAAGAGAAGATTGAGGCGTTTCCCTTGTGCCTTTCAGCATCGCGGATTTGGCAGCCCCCCTAATTTGGCTCTCGTGGGTTTATCTACGAAGAAACACACAGAAAGTCCCAACACACCCCCAAAACATCCCGCCAATTTCGTGACATTTTGGTCACCGCCTCAATGCACCGCATTGAGTTCGCGTCGCCCCTCTCGAGCCGCACATTACATTTCACATCGAGCCGCATTTCAAATTCCACCAGACCGCACACATCAACGCGTGCGTCCCCCATACATCCCCCATACATCCAACCATCCTACAGTGTATATCATGCGTACTTTGCTAAAACATGCATTTCAGTACATGACGAATGTCGCATACTATGCGTGCACAAGTCTCACGCTTCTCCCAATAAACGACGCAACGACGGTCCACAATGCTGAAACACATGGTTCTACCACCAATAACATTCTGTCAAAGCACATACTAATTACTACACACGTCCGCGAGCGCGTCCTTTAAACAATCTCCACACCTACTCACACAGCAGAAACTTGTTCAGCAGCATCACCTTCTTGTTCACATACGACTTGCACACATGCACCACACGCTTGATGCACTCCACGTCCACCACTGAGTACCATGTGGAGACCCTCCCAGGGGTTAGCTGGACGCAGGTGGTCATGGGGCAAACTCCCGCCGCCTCATAGTACTTAACATATGCATACCTACCCTCCGTCCCCTCCGCGTCCGTTGCACGGAACACGCACAGGCATCGTGCGTACCACTCCTCCTTGTCCTTCTTCGCCCTGACAGCAACGTCCGAAAACCACATCTCAGACGGGCTGGCCTTCACAAACGTGCCCTTCGCCACAAGCTCCCCGCCACGGGTGCGCGGAATGGCCACCGCAACCTGTACATACAGCGTATGAATGGAACTCAGCGCATGACATCACAACTAAAGCGGAGAGCTGCCCTACACACCCCCCCCCCCCCCCCCCCCCCCCCCCCCTCCCGGTCCGGTACGAACACACATCACTGTCCGCGCAGTGTCCAGCGGCGTACGAACGTGCTCACCTTGATGGTGGTGCCCGACACACCAGCGGCTGCCAGGCACCTGCCCAGTTCCTTCATGTCAGAGCCTAGTGCCTCTTTGTACGCCCACAGCACTGCGTCCTCCCCGTCGCTTACGTCCGCATTCCTGGACCTCCTCGTCAGGACATACGTCTGCAGTCTCACCGCCTGGAACGGACGTCACACGTGATACGCACATACTCCTCATCATCAGGGAAACCACATCGTTCCACAACGCACCATTTGTCGACTCAAGTTGATAATTTCCGAACCACACCGTCATCTGTATACAACGCGCACGGCAACCCATGCATACATCCACATGACGCCTAGGACTCCCCCCATTCACGACATAGTCCTTCAGGCATTCCGCGTCCCAAACTCGAACGATTCAAGCCTTCGAAGCCATCATACCTCACGCAGCGCACTGACGTACTGCCTTCCTCCCCCTGCCAAGGCTGCCACCTCCCGTGTGATCTCCCTCTGCACCTCCTCCTCCACGATTCGTCGGGGAATGTCCTTCCAGTTACTCCCGCGCACTGGCACCTTCACGCTGCCCTTGTGAGTGTGCTCCCACAGGTTCGTAGAGTACTCAAACGGCATCCCACGCAGGATGATGCCGTCAATGAGGTGAACTATCTGGTGCACCTTCGGTAAATTCCACGAGGACGCTTGCGATGGAGAAGCGTCCTGCACAGCGTCCACCATACTGGCACATCACATCCATACCACACATGATTACCGTGCTCGTGAGCATGAATCAAAGCACGCCGTAGGGATTCGGTGCCACAACTACAGCCATGCGTACGAACGTCTGCTCCATTGCGTCCACATCACCCTCCACACACCACAGCCGTCCCCCACCCATATGCACACCGCGGTTCACCCCACTCACGTGTACGCGCACCGCCGCACGTCACTGAGCGTCCTCTCCGTGTGCTTGTTCACGCCGAGCAGCGACTTGTAGAACACCGCGTACCTCCGGAACGCCCTCACCTCATTGAAGCGCTGCTCCTTCTCCTCGGGCTCGCACCCTTCCATGTTGTCCGCGATGAGTAACGGCATCACTTGCATCATGGCTCTGTTCTCGAACGCCGCGTAGTTCGCACGTGACTTGAGCCAAGAACTTCCACCCGGGATCCTGACCACCGTGGATCGCGTGTACTTCTTCTGCTCCTTCTTCCGCCTGCATAAGGTCGCCACACATGCCCAATCATGGCGTCAAATCAGACCAACACGCATGCGGACTACGTGGAGCCTCCACACCCACCTCTCCAGTTCTCTCCTTTCCGGCTTGCTGAGTGGAGAGATGAACTCGTCCACCATGTGTCCAAGGAACCCTCCGTCCAGCACATGCAGCACATCCGCAACGCAAGCCAGGAATACGTTTCCCCATGTCATCTCCGAAAAATTCCACCTCTCCAGAACCGTCTGCCACCAACCCAACACCAAAACGCTCACCCAGCATAAGCATGTGCATACGGCACAGAACAACGAGCTTATTCTTTTCCGGCATCGGACACTGCTGACCTGCACGGGGTGTGTCGACCATCGCCTCCTGATCTTGTCAGCCTCGTCATTTTTGGACGCGTTCTGCATCCACGTCACTACCTTCCAGTGCAGTTTCACGGTCCTCACAGTTGTCTCCGTCCTCAGATCGGCCAGACTGGTCTTCTTGATGTAGCAGGAGCTGCAAGGTCGGTGAGAACCCTGCTGCATTATCGCCGTGCACCTCGACGACTCGGGGTAGTCCCCCACCTCTGCAAACAAGCATGGGATACCCTTCACCACTTGTCCGGATGCATCTGTCACGTATATGACCTTCAGCGCTGAACTGCATACACGAATGCAGTTTTTGCGACATCAATGCAACCCCTTACACGCAGAGAGTACAAAAACCATGTAAATGCAACAACCTACTCACCCTCGGTGCTCCCTCAACAGTGGCTCAAAAATAATAGCCATCGCCTCCTGAAACACACGGGTCTTCTCCGTAGACGTGGCCCAGTCCGGTGGGAAAGGCAGCAAGCCCGCCATGACGTGCCCTGGCTCTAACCATCTCAGTGCCTCCGGGATGTTCATCAGGCTTATCAGTACTGGCCACGCTTGTAACCTCCCGTTGGCACTCGCGTGCGTACTGTCACTGTACACAATCACACCCAGAATGATTCCCTCCTGCTCCGGCCGGCTAGCATGAGCCTGTTCCAGCCACACTCCGGTGTCGGGGGAGCTGATATGCCTCTTCTCCTCCGTGTCCTCCTTGTCCCTCCGAGGCTCCGTCACAAACCCCTCTGATTGTACGAAAGTCCGCACCAGCTTCTGCACCAACTGCGACGCTCATGTAAAGACAATACATCCGTCAGCCTCTCAGCGAGTAGCCAGCGCAATTGACTGCCAAATGACATCACCCCACATGTCTCTGGCCTCGGGCTCACCAGCTCCGTGTTCCTGAAATGTAGCGGTAGGTTTGCCATTTTCCCACCGGGACCGTAGCATTTGATAAAGGTCTTCTGCCAGGGCACAAGATCGGGCGGAGCCATCATCTTCCCGAACCTCCTCACGTCGACAAAGTTCATCCAACGCCGGACATCTCGCACTGAGCATCGGGGGTTCGCGAATATGTTGAGCAAACGGTTTACCTCCCTTCTCGACAGGTCAGCGTCACGGAAGAAAATGTATAACTCTGTTAGAGTGTCGAAACCGTCGTCAATACTACTTATGTCACTCTCCGCATCGTTGTCTTGCGCAAGCGCGTCCGCGAGTGGATCCTCTACCTCCTGATGCTGGCGTGCATGTCCGTCCGCCACTCCGTCAGTGCCGGAATGACGTGACCTTGCAGGTTCAGGAGGGCGTTCGCCTCGCATGGCTCGTACTGCCTCCCTATACGTCTCTACGAGCCGCTCCGCCCTAACGTGGTTGATCTTACGTCTGCATCGTGTGCTGTTCGCCAAATGAGACTGCAGAGTATTATCATCCATGTGCTCCGCCCCACACGCCTCGCATGTGTTGCCCAACATAGCTCCGAGTGGTACTAAGAAACCCTAACCCGACGCTATGTTAAACACACTGCAACTGTCAATGATGTTCAATATGTGTTGGTGGGTCCGGCCCAGGAGGCTGGACAACCACTGTACGGTTCATCGGAGGCGTACGCGTGTCTGTCCTTGGCAGAGCAGTTTGTCCAAACAGATTGGTCATCCCCCGTTCTTCAGTGGTTGGACATGTGACGCCCTCTCCTGCGGCTGCGGTGTTCCAACCTTTCTATGTCCGGTTCGCATACTGTACCACTTCGGTACAAGCATATTATGGTATCGGTAAGAGTACACATAGTCCAACTACATCTCAAAAAACACCGCTCTGTGTGCAAAAACAAGACGCATGTCGCTACCATGTTACATTAGTCCGTCCTGCTGAGTTACGCAGGTATACATCTTCTTTTTAGTAAAACCTTCACGCATCCTGATGCATCAAACCACCAGGACTTGGCTCCACAGTACATACATGGTCCCATGTCGATGCGGCCAGCTTAGAACAGTGGCCCCCACACGTTCTCTGCTTGCTCTATTTCCTCCATATATTATGTGCCCACCCCGAGCAAGTGCACTAGCATCATTGCATGGTTCATAATAATATTACATCAACTGCTAAGAGCTCCGTCCTGTTTAAGGACCCCTGGTCCCTACATGACAGACCACATATGGTCTCACATGTGCAGACTACTGAGATTCCGGGCCCACCAGCGCATGACGTTAACACTAGAGCCACCATCCTTTTTAACCCCCAATCCCCATATTATGGAACTGTCTTGGAGGAAAGCTAGGGTTGCCTATGGTGCGCAACAGCACGTTGACGTCCATGCGTGACAATCCCCCGGTGTGACACCGTTGCAAGAGCCATCCTAGCTCTCGAACACCGCTCTGCAATGAATCCTCGGTATCCGTATCAACCGCGTATACGTCTGCGCTCGCATCCTCCGCAGTCAGAACTATCTGCCCACGAAAGGCGGAACGCGCACGCAGTCCCGCGCATTCTACGCTGTGGGCCCGGTGCACGTATAGCGCTGTTTCGTTTGGTACTGCAGCTCCACACCGAGCGCAAACGATGGTCGACATGCGTAGGTATGACGTCACGTGGTCGCAAGGAGGCTACGGAGTTGTACGGTAGACTCGATCGGGGAGTTAAAGGTTTGTATAACCTTTGACAGGTGAATGGCACACCTGTCGGAGCTGCGTGTGGTGTTATGCACCCAGCATATAGTCTCAACAAACCTTTTTCCCGCCAACCGCCATCAGTCTTTGAATCATCATGGTGTCATTCCCTATTACCCAAATCATCGCGCAGAAGAAAACAAAACTGTACCCAGGACGTACGGTCCAGTTACGTTAGAACACGCACTATACAACCCACTTTAGACATGGTCAACAATGTTCTACACTGTGGACGGACGGTCTGCATTGTAGTTGGTAGGGCAGTGCGTCCTCGCCAAGTGCCTCCCCGCAACGGTGTACAGTGTCACAACAAATTTCCCCATCATACCAACCACATGTATGCCACCTTGGTGGCATAGCCACCCCGTCCGAAATGCCCTCAATCCGTCCAGCAGCGATGACGATGTGTGGACACTAGGGAGCCTCATCCACACGGTGGACTCAACACCCGTCCAGTACAAATCGCCGTCCACCATCTGTGACAGTGACGTGTCACGTGGCGCTCCACTGGGCTGTAGAGGGATAGTGTCATGGAAGTGGACACTCCAGTGTCCAACTCACTGCATGCCTTCCACGTCTATCTCACGGACAGAAACGTCCTATAACCCACCGTCCACCCGTTGTCAGAAGCACACGCGAGTCCGCCATGGCTGCATTGGTGCACCTTCTTGAGTCCTTGCAGGCCCGACCCGATGACGTTTTCTGCTTTGTGGAGACCCCGTTGCTTGCGACAACGCTGCCTTATAGCAGCTACTTCGACCCTGATTCGGGGTACAAGCCCAAGTGCGAGCTCCGCGTGTGTATCCTCTTCAACGCTTCGGGGAGTATGGTCTTACCTCCGACCGTCGTCAGGCGACGCTATGGCGTTCGGCCGTACCGACACGGCCTACGTGAGGGCGACCACGTGCACCTGCGTCAGACCAAGAGCGGCGAGTTGTCCGCCGAGGTATGTACAATTGTATTTCGAAACAGTTACGGAGTTCATGTCCGTGCGGCCAGGGCGGCTGTTCTCACTATTACCGTGGGATTTCCATGTTTCAGTACTTTAGCGATTACATTGGCAACTTCAACGGCGACCGTCTTGCCCACAACAAGACGGCTCTGGTTCTCGTATCCGGCAGGACGCACCGCTCGCTGGATGCGTCGTGTAAGGAGACCGTTGTCTTGGGGTTCCCCGTGCAGGAGCTATCCAATACTTTTATCGTTAACATAGGTGGCGTCGTGGACCCAGCCCACTTCCCCTGGTTCAACGGCATTCTCGAGATGTTCAAGACAATATTCCGCAGCATTTACCTGACCTTCATAACCACGGACGGGGAGTGGCGCGCGAATGGTTTAATACCTCTCATACTCCACGACAATTTGCTGGTCTGGGTCGGTAGGGCGTGGCGCCATACGCCGCCTTGGGCAGTGCATCTCACGTGGGCACGGTCTGGCGTTATGCCCCTGGCGTGGCGCGACGTCCTCTTCCTAACCGAATACCCGCCTACGGCAGTAACTCGCGAGCCCCTCATCAAGCAGTTGGTACAGCTGCAGATCCTAATCGACCGCTTCGCCAGAGGTGCGCCGCGCTTCATGGCCGCTACGGACTATGCAGCGTGTGACGGCAGGCTAATGTCGTTACTTGGACGGCCGACTCATAAGGAGGCGTCTATCGCGGGAGGATCGGCCGCACTGCGTCCCATGCCCAAAGGGACAATTTCTCGCGACCCTAGAACCCGACGGCGCTTGGTTCGCGCGGTAACGCAGTCGTATGTCCGCACTGCGGCAGAGATGGGCATAAGTCCGCGCGACGTCCCTGAGCGAGTAGGGGTCGAAAACGACGAAGTGGTGGAGCGTCTTCGCTGGACCCCCCTCAAACGCGCCCGCCGTGCCACCTCCGGAGATGGGCGGTCCCTATGCAGTGACAGCTCTACCGACGACACAGCCGGCATTCTGTGTTATAGCTCACCTCTTGCTTCATCCATCAGCGGTAGCAGCTACTAGAGTGTGCCTTGGGAAACGTACCAAACGTTCACCCCTGCTGAACGGGAGGATAGTACGGTGTTTGCATTGTGTGGTGATGTTTATTTCTGTTTTTATTTTCATGTTAATGTCGGACCTCGCTATAAAAGGTACTTGCACAGTCCGCACGCAAACATACCACACCAACTTGCGTGTCCGTTGATTAGCGCATTGACAAGGTACAGCTCG